TAATATACAATTCTCTCAATATTAAAAAAATAAGAAAAAAAAAATTAAAGTTTAAAAATAGCCGTATATGCTAATTTTTAGTTGTTAAAAAGAAAAAAAAATATAACTACATTTTACTTTTACATTTATCAAAACTGTCACAAAAAAAAATAGCACGTAACTTTTTTATTTCCTTTTTTTTTGTATAAAATAAAAACATATCACAAGATTTAGCATTTTTATACTCCGTACGTTAAAACTTTTCTACATTAACTTGGGAAATTTTTTTTTAATAATAAAATCTTATAGCCATGGAATTTATAAATTAATAAAATATAAAATATATTTTAAATTTATCACATAAATTACCCACGTTCAATATACAATTATCAAAAATCCCTGATTATTTGCCACTATTGTTATCTACTTTATTTATTTATTATTTTTTTAAAAACAAAACCACCCACTTCTTTTTTTTTGTTTTTTAATATAAAAAAAAAAACTACTTTGTCAGTAGTTTAAAGATAACCGTATATACTAAATTTTAGATGTAAAAAAGAAAAAAAATAATTACATTTTATTTTTAAATTTATCAAAACTGTCACAAAAAAAAAAAAAAACCCATAGCACGTAACTTTTTTTATTTCTTTTTTTTTCATAAAATAAAACCATATCACAAGATTTAGCATTTTTATTGGAATCAATACCAAGGTGTTTAATTAGGATGGTGGTTGATTTATTTTCCAAAAATCATCATAAAGGTTTGCGCTAATCGATGCTTGATCAGTTGAGTTGGTTGATTACCAATTTTTTCGTTAGGTGTTTTTTGGGTTTGGTTTTTGTTGAGCATGCAGTTGCTTATTCGGTGTTGAATAGTTAGTGATCAAGTTGCCTGAATAAAAAGGTTTGGGTTATCAATTGAGGTGTGACCTGTCTTTCTGATTGATTGCCAATTTTTTAGAATTTGATTATTGACGGTTGAATTATTGTTGATTTCGTTTCCGAATATCATCAGAAAGGTTTCCAAGATTGGTTTTATCTCCTCTAGAGCTGTTTTGCTTTGCCGTTTTTTAATATACAATTCTCTCAATATTTTTTTACCTATCCACTTCTCTCCAAACATAAAATTATCTTCAATCTTTACTATTTGTAATTGTTCATTTACTATACTAACATATTCTATATTTAAAAAAAAAATTATTTCATATAATTATAAACCATTAACCACAGTTGCCATACCTTCAATCGAGTAATCATCTGATCCTTCTTCGTTCAAGTTGTCTTCTATTTTTTTTTTTCAAATAAAACAATAGTAGTCGGCTGCTTTATTTTATTTTCGTATAATTGATTATCATAATATTGGTTGAATTTGCAAGGATTGTTGATTGTTTGACTATGGTGCACATCAATAATTCTCCTTTATTCGAACTCAAGTAGGATTGCATATTCACGAACGCTAATTTTTGTGCACAACTGACATTATCCTTACAAAGGTAAACCATTTACTGCAATTCTAGATTAATTTACTTATTAAACAAGTTACAAAAAGTTTATAGAATTTTTATACACCTTAGTAAATTAATTAACTATGAAACAATACAAATAAGACTGCACGAACACCAACAAAACATTTGAAACATCCAATACTAAATTTTTTAAAAATACATTCCATTCTTTACCTAAAAGTTGCTCAGTTATTATAGTAGCACTCCTACTCTGCCACAACTAGAAACAAGTGATGAGAAGATGATAGAGATAACACAAATATGGGGTATGATAAAGGGTTAAACAATGAATACGGAATATAATTGACTGTAAGACTAGGAATTATTTGTCGGGGAAGTAGAGAGAGTCACAAAAGTCAATAACGTAAAAGGGATAAGTGAAAAATGACCAATTAAATTAGTTAACATTCGGAGATAAATCTAATAACACAGAATAAATAGTACCATGCAACATAATTGGGGACCGCATGAAATGAACCATTAAGACGTTATGAAAGTACTGTTGTTTAGACACAAAAGAAGTACCTTCTCATGACTTTTTTTTTCCACCCAAAAGGTTTATAAAAATCCAAATTGCCAAAAATAACATACAATAAGGAATCAAAGTCAAACTCAGTATAACATGATCTTCTATAAAAATTCATCGAAATGATAAATTCTATTTTCTTTTTTTATCCATTTATAACCTTAGCAAAAAACATTTACCTGCATTTTTCCAACCATCAACCTCATATAAATATACCAACAAACCAACATTGCTAAATTAAAATGACCAACATTGCTATATTAAATTGTTCACTCTACACAATTTAGATTTTTATATCATGCACCTTTTTTATAGCATTTCGTTATTATAATTTAATTTACATTATTTACTTTTACTTATAAATTTTTATGTTAATAGATATGGAAAATCATATGTCATCTACGTCATACTATCGAAATTTGACACGGAGAAGGATGACACCGGAACAACTAGAACAAGAAGCTATTGCCCGAAATACTCGAAGGCGGACTACTTATAATTTAAGGAGGAATTCTCGACAACAAGCCGGTTCTTCTACTTATAATTTAAGGAGAAATGCTCGACAACAAACCGGTTCTTCTACTCTATCGGATATTACTAATCAAGACATCACAACTGGCAACTACACTACTTCAAATCGTGCTTCAAGTTGCACACGTGAGTTGAGTAATACTATGTTTATAGCCTTCTTGACATTGTTTTTGTAATTAAATACAGTTATTGTCCTTTTATATGACATCAATATGTGTTGATTACAATTTTAACAACATATATAATTGTTTATTATATAGTAATCCATTTGTATAAAATCGAGAAATATATAGTTTTACAATTTTGGTATAAATTGGTTAACTTATGCCTAACAAAATTAGTTTCTCTACTATTTTATAGAAACCATTATAATGTGCGTACTAAAAAAATTGCATTACTAATAATGATTATATTAAAAATTATTAACTATATCACATAATAATTTTTTTTAAAAAAACATTGGCCCATTTACCCTTAAACGGTTTGAAAATTATGGTTGCGGCAATTTACACATGGTCTTTCATTACCAAAATAATTCTCTTTATGATTTGCAAATAGAGCATGCATCATATCATGTGAAACCATTGGCATTACATTAATATCAACCAAGTAACCAATAGTAAATTAATATTTTTGTAAATAGTAAAGATATATGGATAGTTTAATGAAGTACAATAATATAAAAAAAAATATTGTCTACACTAATTCAAGATATAGTTAAAACATAAGATACGAAGTGAAATATAACAAAATACACTGTAACATTTAATGAGCCATGTTGCTCTTGATTATGCAGCACATTTTGATTCTTAAGCATCAAATGGTCTAAGATCCAAATTTTTGTTTTGCAAGATGAACAAAAATACATTAACTTAGTAAGAAGCTTGATAAAGTTAAATATAAAAATCATGTGACATGTTGTTTTTTATCATCAAACATACTAAATAAATTTAATTCATAATCCAGCAATTCAAAATGGTCAAAATGTCATATCGCACAATTCTACATGTTTTGGTCAACGAAGTAACCGAGGTGGTAGTACAAGTTTTGGCAACAATGGCATTCAAGAGGTCTTAGGTCCTAATTCCATGCATAGCAACAATGTTCAAAGAAATAAAGAAAGAGTATGTCATCTTTGTGCAATAAACATTCATGAGCAAAGAGGAGTCCCGACCGTTCAATTATCACCTCCGAGAACATGTACATTTTGCCAAGCTCGCCTTTTTGATAATTAAACATCCCAAATATGTTGTTTGTCTAGGAGGATTACCTTGCCAACCTTACCTGTTCCTGAAGATCTACGTTCTTTATATAATGATCAAACACCTATTGGATTGCATTTTAAGCGTGATATCAGAAAAATTAATCACTTATTTGCTTTAACATCCATGGGAGTGCACTTAGTTGAGAGCTTAGCAAATGCTCAACACGGAGTATATACTTTTCGAGCTCAAGGTTCTATATATCATAAGAAAGGCGGACTACTCCCATCTACATCAGAATCTCAGCCACGATTTCTTCAGTTGTACATATATGACACTGAGCACGAGGTTGAGAATCGTCTTGCAGAGAATAGCACATTACGACAAGATATTGTAGAACGAGTTAAAGCCATTCTTGATCAATGCAATCCTTTTGTTCATAATCTTCGAAGTTTGGCTCAGCAAGAAAACGTACAAGATTGTGCCCTCCGAATTAATGAACAACCATCAGATCGACCGCAATATTGTCTTCCTACTGCTTCTCAAGTTGCGGCTATGATTGTTGGTGGAGAAGAAGTTGCAAACTTAAATCCAAGGGATATTTTAGTTCAATCAACTTCTGGGCAATTAATGACTGTGTTGGATACTGCTGGATACTATGATCCTCTTCAGTATCCATTACTCTTTCCATATGGTTCCTATGGATGGTCGATAAATAGTCTCGATAATAATGGAAGAACCATACCTTGCCGAGCATTCTATGCCTATATCATTCAAGTAAAGTACACCCCACTCACATATTATCACATGGATATATATATTCTTTTCTCATATTTCAATGGTATTTTATTGATTGTAGGTACGACAATGTGTCATATCCATCATCTTAATGGCAGGGCGCTTATTTCAACAATTCATTGTTGACATGTTTGTGAAAATTGAGGCAAATAAGCTAAGGTGGATTCAAGATAATCAAAATACAATTAGAGCTGAATTGTATCAAGGACTTCAAGATTGTTTAGATGTCGGAGAACTCAATCCAGGTTCTTTTCTTAAATATTTTGTTTGCCTTTAATTTTAATTTTACTATTATTATGTATATAAAATAATGAATGGTACATTGTAATTATAGTGAATGTCGGAAAATCAACCATTCAACCTTCTTCGTTTGTCGGGTGTCCAAGAGACATGAATCAAAGATTTCAAGATGCAATGGCATAAGTTACACATTATGGAAAACCAGACCTCTTTTTGACAATGACATGCAACCCATCATGGAGAGAAATTGTAGACGAGTTATTGCCAGGTCAAACAGCACAAGATCGTCCCGACTTGATCACCAGAATATTCCATGCAAAATTTGAGGAATTCAAGATGGACGTTGTAGAAAAAGGCGCTCTTGGGAAGGTTATTGCCTATGTCTATGTCATTGAGTTTCAAAAAAGAGGCTTGCCACATGTTCACATGCTGCTCATTTTGGACGAAATAGATAAACCAAAATCTCCGGAACAGTATGACACATTTGTGAGAGCCGAGATACCTGAGAGAGATGAAGAACCACGATTATACGATGTTGTTTTGAAGCATATGATCCATAATCCGTGTGGTGAAGGTCGTCGAAATTCTTCTTGCATGGAAAATGGGGTTTGTAAACGTAAATTTCCTAAACCCTTTGTAGTAAGTACAGTCCAAGGCAAGAACTCATATCCTATTTATCGTCGTCATGGTGATCGTCCTCCAGTACCTTTACATGAGAATAGTGCAACCTTCGTTGATAATGGTTGGGTTGTTCCATATAATTCATGGTTGCCATTAAAATATGATTGTCATGTCAACGTAGAGATCTGTAGTAGCATCAAGAGCGTCAAATATTTGTACAAGTATGTGCATAAGGGTGTAGATCGTGTTTCAATGGAAGTTCGAGCAGGGGCTGAATACAATGAGATTCAACAATATGTGGATGCTAGGTGGGTATGTGCACCTGAAGCCTTATGGAGGATATATCAGTTTCCCATTACTCGAATGTGTCCATCTGTTGATCGATTACAACTACATTTACAAAATCGGCAAATGGTTAGATTCAGTACAAATCAATCTATTGAAGATATCCTTCAGATGCCACAAAACTCTCGAACTATGCTCACAGAGTTCTTCAAGATGAATTCCTTAGATCCAGAGGCAAGAAAATACCTATGTAGAGAATTTCCTCAACGTTATCGATGGCTGACGGCTACAAAAACTTGGAGAAAAAGGATGAGTACATAAAGAGTGATAGGTAGAATCTATACAGCCTCACCAATGGAAGGAGAAATATTTTTCTTACGTTTGTTGTTGGATCATGTTAAAGGCCCCGAATCATTTGAGCATCTACGAACTATCAATGGAATTGTTTATTCTACTTTTAGAGAAGCAGCTGAAAAACTAGGTCTTATGGAGAATGATGCAAGCATTCGTGATTGTTTGCATGAAGCATCAAACTCTAAAATGCTATCTTCATTAAGAAGATTGTTTGTCACGTTGTTGGTTTATTGTCAACCAACTGGGGTTCGATCTCTATGGGATGAATTTTATCATTACATGGCTGAAGACTACTTATATTCAACTTCAACAAATCCAGATCTGGTACGTGATTCAGTTCTCTATGACATCGATCGCATGTTAAAACAATTAGGAAAGAGTGTCAATGACTTTGACTTACCTAAAATAAACATGCGATTGGATGGAAATGCACAAGTACCTAGAGCCATACATGATGAATTATCAGCTCCAGTGCCCCCTGAAGATGTGCATTGTGCTGAGCATCTTAATGACGACCAACGCTCTTCATTTGATATCATTATGGAAGCTATTGATGCAGAGAATGGTCGAATTTTCTTTATAGATGGTCCAGGTGGGACAGGTAAGACTTATCTATATCGAGCCATACTTGAAACAGTCAAGCTTAGAGGGAAATATGGATTACCAGTAGCCAGCTCAAGTATTGCTGCCACACTTTTGCATCGAGTAAAAACCGCTCATAAAACTCTTGGTATTCCGGTTACGCTGCATGCTTCGTCAACTTGGAAGTTTAGTAATCAAGATGTAGAGGCGCAATTGGTCAAGTATGCGGCTGTCATAATATGGGATGAAGCAACAATGACTCATCGACATGCGTATGAAGCAATTGATCGTAGTTTAAGAGATCTAACAGGGGTTGATGTTCCATTTGGTGGCAAGGTCGTAGTGTTTGGTGAAGATTTTAGACAAATTTTACCCGTTGTACCAAAAGGAACAAAGGCTCAAACTATAGATGCGTGTTTGGTCAGGTCAACACTTTGGACACATGTTCAGCTACTTCGTCTCACTCAAAATATGAGATCAATACATGATCCGGAATTTGCAGCCTTTCTTTTAAGAGTTGGAGATGGATGTGAGCCTATAGTTGATGAACACATGATAAAGTTACCATCTTCAATATGTGTAGGAAATGGTGATCAAATTTCAATTGATAATCTAATCCATCAAATATTCCCAAACCTAACTGAGCACGTAGGTGATGTGTCATACATGGTACAAAGAGCTATTATAACTCCAACAAATGACGAAGTTGACATGCTGAATGAGAAGATACTTAAAGAGTTTGCCGGAGAAGAAAAAAACTTTTACTCCTTTGACTCTGTTCCAGAAGATCGTCAAAATCTCTATCCACAGGAGTTCTTGAATTCATTATCCTTTGGTGGTTTGCCACCACATATTCTTAAGCTGAAATTTGGCTCGCCAATCATGCTTTTGAGAAATATTGATACAAGCAGTGGATTGTGTAATGGGACAAGGTTAATATGTAGTTGGTTAAGGGATCATGTGATTGAGGCTGAAATTTTGACCGGAAGTCATAAAGGGACACAAGTGTTCATTCCATGTATGACTTTAAAAACGGCAGAAGATGTGAAGTTGCCATTTGAAATGATCCGAAAACAATTTCCTGTGAAATTGTGTTTTGCTTTGACCATAAACAAATCGCAAGGGCAACCATTCCTCATGTTGGTATATATCTCCCCCAACATGTTTTCAGCCATGGACAACTATATGTTGCACTATCGAGAGGGACCTCACAAGAAACAAAAAGAGTTTTAGTTAGCAAAAGAGATACTCGAGGTAGATGTGGTGTATTTACAAAAAACGTAGTTTACAAAGAAGTGCTCCTGCCTCATTTGCCACAACCCTAATTATCAGGTATTATCATAAATATTATACATGCATTGGTAACTTCCGATAGTCATAATTCATAATTTTCTATATTATACATGCATACAGAGCTTCTTAAGTCATAAATATCTATGAAATGACTTCTTTATCCTCTTATCAGGGAGCAAGCTAAGCGTGACAAAAGTCAACAACTAAGCATCAAAAGTGCATGGAAGCAAAAACATCTCATGCTATTCTTGAGGATATTTGTTTTTATGTTTTTAATATTGTAATTTTATTACAACATTATCTCCAAGTATATGTAGTATATGTACAATTTGTATGCGTAAATAATTTCGACTCTTGATATTCATAAAATATCATGTATGTATTTCATATTTTGTGCATGCATGGCGTGCATATCTGAGCTTGTAGGACTTTAAAGCCCCCTCATCAGCCAGACGGTCCAATAGCCGCCTGAGGCTATATCAGCCATTGTTGTCATGGCCGATATCCTCATGGAATTGACAGTACTTGCTCTTGTCCCGGCTGTTGATGGGGCTCTTCATTGCTGCCGGTTTTTAAAGGGTCAAACGGTCTTTGATCTCCATGAGGATGGAGGAGCAGTCCTTGTTGAACTCGTACATGGGGACGTACGACTTCAACTCTCTCTTTTTCTTTTGGGACGGCAGACCAGAACGGTCCGCCGCCCAAACTTCTTTTCTTTTCTAGCTTTTTTTCTTTTCTGGGCGGCTGAGCAGACCGGCTCTCTTTCCTGTCGGACCTTTTAGGTTCTGACGAGTGCTTGATGGCACAAAGCTCTGTCGCCTGTATGTAGGCTTCGGCTTCCATCAATGCCTCTTGGAGGTGATAGGACGTCGTCAACCTATCAAGAAATAAGACCTAACTCGATCCTTCTAAACTAGTAGCAAGGGCAAGAAAGGGTCGAACCCATGAGAGGCGTTGAATCAACCACCAAATGTTATTTTTTAAACAAGCTAGATTAAGTCGGGGGTTTTAAGTTGGTATTACGTCACACTATTCTAATTCAAATCAACTAATTCTAAGAGGTGATTAACAATATTAAGAAGGCCTAGGGCATGGGTTACACCACTGAACTTCATCACGGACCACAAGTAGCATGCATAGAAATGGTGATTTAGGGGATAAATTAGGGGAAGTTATCAAATGCACCCAACTACTCTCTCAAGCTAGAGGGATTACTACATCAAAACCATAACCTACTCTCGTGATTATGGGCAAGAAACAAGTGTTAAAACATCCTCACGATAACATGCAAATTCCCTTGACTAGAAATTCCTATTCTCATGGCAAATCAAGTCAATCAAGCATAAGGGAGCTTCCTCAAGTTCATCTCTCGATCCTTCGTTGAGGAAGCTAGATAAATAATTCAAGCAATGGCCAATTACAAGAATTAACAATGAAACCTCTTAAACTCAACTAATTAACACCCCACAATTAACAAATTAGTACATGCAACAAGTGTTGGTGATTACATTGAGGGTTCACCCAAACCCTAGAAATTAGACTACTCACAATCCATGGAAGTTAAAGCAATTAAAGATTTCAAGGAATTCATGAACAAATTAAAACTAAGAATTAAGTAGAATCTAACAATTAAACATGCAAAGAACAACCAAACAATTAATAAAAAGCAAGAATTAAAGATAGAAGAGAGAAAGAAAGAGTAAGAAAAATTACTAGAAACTTCAATAATTGACTAACAATGGTGGAACTTGTCTTCTATAATGATTGGATTGAAAACCTTCAAAACAAGAACTAAAATCTATGCTAATTTGAGGATTTTTGTGTCTCAAACTAAGAGGAGTATGAAAATCTGGAAAAAAGAATTGGGAACCCCTCTAAAATGGTCCAAAGGGGCTATTTATACTACCCCCTAAAATAAGAGGACGGAGAAAACAACGGGTAAACTGTAGGTTTGCACGGACGTCTGAAGTTGGCACGTCCGTGCAGACCAAGGCAGAAACTCAGTTTAAGACGACCTGCTGCAGCACGGGCGTGCACCTTTGGCACGTCCGTGCTGCATCATCTGCACGGACGTGCAATATTTGGCACGTCCGTGCTGCCTCATAATCACGGAAGCACGTCCGTGCTGCATCATCTGCACGGACGTGCAATATTTGGCATGTCCGTGCAGGCCTTGGCAGAAAGATGGGTTCAGGTCTGCACTCCTGCACGGACGTGCAACATCTTGCACGGCCGTGCAGGGTCTTCTGGGTCCTTTTCTTCGTGTTTTCTTCTACGATGCTCTTGTACTTGGATTCATTCCATCATTTCCTTTCTTCTAACCTCGGTTTGGTAACCATGGGCTTCATTTGGTCGTCTTTGGACCTAAAATCTCAACAAAAACACTAATAACCGGTGAAGCATAGGATACACAAAAATTGCATAATAATAGGGTAAAAGTGAACCAAAAACACAAATTTGTTCAGGTAAACTAGGTTCAAATACGCCCTAAAATCGCATAAAATAGCAAGTTATCAAATCCCCCCAAGCTAAGCTTTTGCTCGTCCTCGAGCAAACTAGTCATGACAAAACAAATAGAGGGAACTAACTTGTTATAGAAGGTTGAAGCAAAAGTTAAACCAAGAAAGGGTAGGCATACACAATAAACCGAACGATCACTTTTAGCAAAAGTGAGAAGCCGTTTAAACCTACAAGTCGCCTAGTAGGACGAGTCCATCTCTCGTGAGGGTTTCCAAAGAGAATCACCCACAACTCCCACAAACACAACACACGATTTTTTTTTTTTTTTTTTTTTTTTGTATAGCCCAAGTCAACTCATCGGGATGTGATTCAAAAGCAAGACAAGTGAACAACATTCAAAAATCAACATCATAATAATGTACACATGAGTTAGAGACCAAGAAGGATGCTGAACAAGATTGCAATGGAACACTTCCTTAGGCTTTTTACTAGTTCATTAAAGTACATTTGCTCATTCCTAAGTCATAGCACATTTTTATTTTCGGTTATAAAATAGTGAAATACAAGTCCACCTCCCAAGATGCACAAACAAACTCCCTCCACTACACTCTACTATGAGATTTTTACAAGAG